TTCAAACATCGTGCGGACATCCCACGTCCCCGCGTTTACTTTTGCTTTCATCGAGAGAAGACACATCGGCCAATTGGCTTTCCGAAGGCTTTCACCAACTGACGTCATTTCTCCTCTCCGATTCCAGTGAGGAATAATTTTGTTATTATTTCTTATATTTCGTTTGTGCTCTGAAGTTTCTTCAGCGACCGGATTGGTTTTACGTGGTAGGGTTGCTAGCCGTATGCCCAACCTTCCCTCTTTACCCGGGCTTAGGACCGGCTAGTAACTAGTGTATTACTTGACCAGGCGAGGTTTTGGTTAGAAAAGCTTGACTTCAAAATGGCACACCCTCTACCCATGGCATTCCGACACTGGCACCATGAGTTCATAGTCGCATTTAAAAGTACCAAACCAAAATCTTAGGCTTGCATAAAGACCATGTGTGACCGACACTAAGTAGATGTCCCTTGGACCCTGCGGTCATGCACCAGCTTTTCCTCTTCAAGTACCTCAATAAGAGGTAGCTCTTCATGGTGTGGGGAGCCAAGGAGTTTCATCAACCTTCATAACTTTGTCAGGAATCAAGGTCCCTCAGATCATTGTCGACCTACCACATCCATATCTTACAATCTTCCTTTACATATCTCGATAGATAATCCTACATCTCCCTAATTTCCTCCAGCTCTCAACAACGAACTGAGTTCACAGAATAGCATCCCTAGTCTTTTTAAACTACGCTCCAAACTATACATTGGAGCTATCAATGTCCTCACCCTATCAAACCTGCCAAAAGACCTCATTAGCCAAAACTCTAGCAACTCAGGCCATGGGTGTGTGTTGTATTTGTGGGACATGCATACAGTACCCAAGTGCGTTTTTTCATTTAACCTCCCACGGCCAGTATGCTGAATCCATTAACTTAACACTTCGAGTCTCTGGTGATTCGATAGCCAATCTTCGCAGTCTTGCAGGTGTAGCTTTGAGTGCTACGGCAGAAAGATCGCCACTCGACTGGATCCCAGCTGACAGTCACCTGTGCGCTGCCCAAATAAACAGCACAGTGAGGACCAAAAAGAATAGCGAAACTCGCCGTCATCTCTTTGCAGTCTCCACTCACGCACCCATCGACTGCAGTTCAGAAGTGAAGGATGAGTTCTACCAAGAACTGTTTAGCCTCCTTCTGAAAGCCAAGCGCTCACTCATGGTAGCTTTTGCAGGTGATTTCAATGCACACGTAGGTAGACTGCCAGGTAGAAAGGCACCTGGATGGCATCTTCGGGATCCCGGCTGAACGAACGGATAACGATGGTCGCCTACAAAACTGTGCTCAGATAACCATCTATTCCTAGCTAGCACAATCTTCAGACATAAAGAAAGACATTGTCTAACCTGGCGTCCACAGAGCTCAACTCAGCGATGGATACGGATAGATCACATTGGTATGTCATAACTGGAGAAGGTCGATGGAAGACTACCGCTCCTTCTGAACCGTGTTTGGATTCAGATCACGCGTTGCTTGCACCGCGTATGTCTGCATTTCAATGGACGTAGAAAAACTTTCGCAACGAGACCATTACGAGTGCAGCTCGACAATAAGAGCACTAAGGTTACTTTCAGCGAGAAACCAGCTAAACAGTTATCGCACCAGAAAATCACTCCTCTAGAAGGAGCTTGGTGCCATCATGTCTGCTGTAAAAACAGCATTATGTACTTTTGCTGACTCGTAGAGAGTGGTTAGAAAGGGCCAATGGATCTCAGCAGCTTCTGGATTAGTGGATGCACCTTAACCGAATCCTGGAGGCCCCGAGCACAATAAAGAGCAGAAGTAACTCAAATGTGGACTGATAAAAAGTCCACGCAAATACCACGAACAGTAGTGGAAAGCGAAAGCTAAAAAGATGCAAAAGACAGTGGCGATAGGTAACTGTTAGCTTATCTAGACGTATTTAAGAATTTGGGGCAGGGATTGGTGAGACGGTAGAGAAGTATCCTACATCTGATTACACGGCTCAGACCAGCAGTCAGAGACTTCATTGACTGGTGCCACGTCTTGATCTGGCATCCCTAAACCTTCCTCTTCCGGTGAGATAGGTGGTGCCTCAGCGTGCACAGTGAATGCCAAGCAATCTCAGCAGACTGAGATTCACAACCTTACCAACTGAACTTGCCTGTCTTGTCTAGTACCCTTCGTCTGACCTCAACGTTGCTCGCACGTTGGATCCTCTTGTGATAATCATAAAGGAATCAGACTGCCGGACATAGTGTCTAAGATTCTGTAATCATTAAACGCCTGAGTGAAGCTCGAGAACAGAAAACCCCAAAAAATAGGTAGAGTTTAGGCCTAGCTGTGCGTCTACCTACCAGATATTCACACCATTAGTTACTGGGACATAGATATGCTTACTGTCGTCCAGTACTGGCAGTACTTCCTAGCCTGAAGTTGGCATTCGACTCTGTCGATCGAGGGGTCTTGTAACAGTTTCTCTCACAGGAAAGGTATCGAGTAAGTACATCACTCTGTCGAAGGCTCTTTACTCAAATATCCGTGTGTGCTAGTGCGTATGTTGTCAGGTGAGTTGCGTACATCGAGTAGTGTCCGTAAATAATGCTCACCCTCTGCATCCCTATTAGATTTTATAATAAAGTTCCCGTGGAGGTCTCCCTCTCATCTGAGCTCATAGGGATTGATATAATCACAGGAGACTCCTTGGTAGATCTAGATCTGGTGGATGATACACCCCAATCCTGACAAGATAGTGATTTGGACACAGTGAATTGCGACTCAGGATGCTTTCCTCGCCACCCTAATACAAACTGCTACTTCACCAGTGCCCAGCTAGCAAGAAGAAATGAAGCGGTTGAGTACGTCTACACTTCAGTTAACTGGGAAGTAAGACCAGCTCTTGTGGGTCAGTGGCTGACTAAATCTCTGCACGGATGCGGAATGCTTGACTAGCTTTCGCTAACTTACACCATATACGGTGCCGTCACGATACCTGATTGTTTATTAAGGATTGAGTACAGCGTTGGAGTTCGCTCTATTTTTATGTATGGCTGTGAAACATGGCCAGTGAAGGCAGAGGACATGAAAAGGCTTCAGGTGTTTGACTGCCATCACCTCCGTAAGATATGCCGCGTGTCATCACTTCAGTAAAGTGGAAGTTGGACGTAAGGTCTTTGGGAGAGAGCCAATCGAGGGAATTTCGAGCCTTCATCAACCGAGGTGGCTGGGACGTGTTACACATGACCAATCTTCTGCCCCGTCGCGCAATGTTGAATGAAGTAGGTTCATACCAGAGAAAGGCTCTGGGGTTAAACAATAGCACGACATCACTGCATGGAGATTTTGGGTACCGGTCTTGGCCGTGTAGGGTGATGCAGACTAGCCGGTTGAGGTCCGTATTATAATAGAAACCAACAGTTAGGAACAATGGATATGGCTCAAAATCGACGTCACAGACGCAAGAGCATTCGTACGTTATCCCGAGTCCAGCATTTTCTCTACTGCTTTTAACCGACTCTGTATTTCTTCATTTCGTTGCTTTCCCGCTTGATGCGGGGATATAAAGCATAGCAACCCGGAACGTTATGCAGTCATTCTTGGTCCTGTTTATGATGACGATAGGCACCTTCGCGGTTCGAAATAAACTTATCACCTCATTAGACCACTGGTAAATTCGACTTTGGACACAAGGCTACTATTAATTTTCCCTATTTTACCAATCTTTTTCAGACTGACTTTCAATCTAGCCCCTTCATTGGACTCATATTCGTTTTCCCACCCGTTAACTCTATAATTTCCCATATTTGTACTCAGCAACCTTGTTCACGTTTGCGTAGTAGGCAGTGTGCCACACCTATTATAGTTGGTGAAACGTGTCTGGCCGAACCTCTGTACGTGCAGCGAAGTTCAAACTCGTGACCGACTTTTGAAAGACCCCCATATCTTAACTCTACACTTATGTAATTACATTGCCCTAAGTGCGTTGCGCAAGCATACTAAATGATTTAGACGAATTACACCTTTCGAAACTCAAAAAGTGCAACCAGTTCTTCTAGTCACTCTGGACACTTATAATCAGATGAAACCCTAACTAGGATTTTAGAGTGTTGCTGCAGAAATGAATGCAGACAGGACACTTTGTCGTAATCGACTTATCTAACTGAGGGATCTGCGGACCAATTCGACACAATTTTTGCGTTCGGAAGAATATTGTTACCTATTGGTCGAGACCTGTCCAAGTTGGTATGTCCTGGGCATTTCTGGTCCTCGTATATCCCGGGATCGAGGACAGTATGTGCTCACGTTCTTTACAGGTTGAATAGACTTGAACATGTCCATCTCCACTTAGTTTTGTCTAACCGATCCTTCCCCGTAAGACAACCAAATGAATTCGCCGCCAGAGGATATTTCGTTCATCGGGTAGGCTACAACCACAAAACAACTATACATAGGTACCCTAGTGAGCCAACTATTCATAACTCTACACAGCCTACCTAGTGAGAAACGAGTTTCAGTTAGTGTTGGAATATCCAGCAGAGGCTGTCTCCCCGCCTTTCCCAGTTTCCGTTGTCTATACTAAGAATGTCGATTTTGGCAACCCCTGACGTAAACGTTTATCTACTTCTAAACATACGCATATATCGAAGCGAACTGGGTTAGCAAATGCATTAAGGGAAATTTCCAGTTTTTTCATCTTCCTAAGTGGTGGTAAGTGATCGGTCAATTACCCTTTCGTACGACCTAACAGTTTAATGTTACTCAGCTGAACAAGTCATAAGTTTTCTAATCAAGTACTGTCATAAAAACCATGGCGGCTAATGAACCTACAAGTGGTGACACGTTGTTCCAACTTACTACCTTTGTAATAATTTCTGTATGGACATTCAAAGCTGTACATGACTCCAAAACAATTACAATAACCAGATTAAGAATGGACAAGGCGATCAGATATTCACTTAAATCCAAGATAAGATAACTTAGAAGACGCTTGTAGACCAGACAATTTATCCGTCATTTATTCTTTGTCAGACTTAGAAACAATAGTGCGAGTACCACGAATACGTCCTGTTCGTCTAGCAGCAATCAGACCAACCTTTCTACCATGCGATGCATCACGTCGGATAGTAGATGGTTTACCAATGTGTTGATGATTACCACCACCATGAGGATGCTCGACAGGCTGTTAGTGAAAAAAACACAAAGGATTCGTGAAAGTGATTTGCAAAGAGAAAAGGATTATCGTTTGCGGGAAATATATCAAACAAGGGTGGCAAGTCGTCAACTCCAAATACGAAAGTGGCAAGCAACTGCACACCTGTTATGACAAACACTTCCACAGACCTTTCTTTAGAGAAAAGGTAACTTTGATCAAGGTATTTCGAAATACCGTACCGCAACAACCACTTTTGAAAACGTTTTCAGAATGCAAACGTTTTATGACGTTCAAATATTCCAATAGGTGAAAGAATGGTGGGTACAGTACTTTCGTTCTTACTTACCTGTAGCTCTAATCTTAACAGGAAGCCTGACGAGAGCCTAAAAGCTAGTTGATGGATTTTAGGGGTCGTGCACGCATGACTAACTGCGTTTATAAGCTGATTCTCCACGTGAGTTAAAAAAATACTTGAGCGGGTAAGCAGTAGTATGTCATACAATGGGAATTAAGTATGCGGATATAAACTTGGTCAGTAAGTAACTTGCTGATTAGTGCTAAGCTGTGTTTACAGAATGAAATGAAAATTCATGTAAGCTATGCATCCAATAATCCGGTTACGTAAGGAAGTAATAATCAATGCAACGCTACATGAATAAGCGTTACACCGAAGCAAAAGAGATATCTTTATAACGCACTGAAGTGGACAAGACTTGACATGCCAGGGCTAGACATATACGGGAAACATTCTCAACAAGAACAACCTAACAGTTATCATCTTTCGATCTACTGGCACGTTATAACAGCAGACGCTAACCACTACCTATCGTTGGATGTACCTGAAAAGCTTAAAATGACCAGTAAATTAACCAGTTTATTAACAAGGAGTGCGCTGCTGCAGTGTGATTACACACTGTTCATACGGTTGGACACAGGAAACACTGCCTTCCAATGAATATGGAAGCGCTCTCTTTAGTTAAGAAGATACTATTATAACGGAGTTTAATCGGTATCAGCATGATGTACACCCGCTTAACTAATTATATTTCTTTAAAGCATAGTTCCGCTGAACATGGCATCAGTAGGCTGGACGCTCAAGAACGAACTTTAATTAGACAGTTAGTACGTGACAAGAGAACGATACAAAAGACAAGTGACTGAATAACATTCTTAAAGATTCTCACCTCGTGTATTCCTAACAAATCCGGGAAACACAAGAACTACTAAAACAGCTAATGTAATATCACGCATCTAATCTAGTTACTGGTTATCGAGTCAACGTTGGTATTCCATTGAGTTGCAAAATAATACACTTGGAAAAGAACTACTTACATTCATAGCCACACCCCTGACTCGAGGCCAGCAATGCCTTTTAGCTTTGTACTTGTGATAAGCACGACCAGCTTTCAAAATTGGTTTGTCTACCCGACCACCACCAGCCACAAGGCCAACCATAGCACGACAAGCGGAAGGCAAAACCTTCTTAGCACCTGAAGGAAGTTTTACTCGGGTGCGCTTCGTGTCAGCGTTATGAGCAACAAACCGTAGCGTAGTTACCACTTGCACGAGCAAGCCGTCCGCGGTCACCACACTTTTCTTCGAGGTTACACACCACTGTTCCTTCAGGCATTGAACCAATGGGAAGAATATTTCCAATCTGCATACATACATACAGTAGTAATAAAAAACTAACCTGTAGTTTAGCCTTCTTACCACAGTAGACAAACTGACCAGTGTGCAAGCCTTCAGCTGCGATGAAGGTTTGCTTAATTAGTTTGTAGGAATAAACATCTCTGAAGGCGACTTTTGCTAGAGGAGCACCTCTACCGGGGTCGTGTATTATTTCTCTAACGACACCCCTTATATATCCATGACGCTCAGCAAAGTCTACTGGACGCAGTCTTGCAGCTCCCTTACGATGTTTCGTATGAGCTTTAAAGATACCTCCCGCACCTTTACGCTGACTTCGGATAACCCTACCCATCTGAAACGAACTATGTGATTGACCTCTGAAACTTACCTCGCACGCCAATTACGAATAAAGTGGGCGGGTAAGAAGATAAGACTAAGAAACTGCTTAGTGTTCAATGGTTATTTATAAACTATTGCTTCGAAACGAGTGGTGACAAAATGGGGAGATTTCACTTACCTTACACGTCTAGAATTAGAGGACCGGAATTGTTTATCTCTGAGAATCAATGTATAAAAAACAAAGAGTTGACAACAGAAGGTGAGCATTTTAAATCTGTCGGCCCACCCTGTGAACTAATTTGAATATGAGGTATGTGTTTGAGGGTCTACGATCACAGACCTAAATAAACGCTATGGACAAAAGATTCCAAGCCTTGAGAAGTGAAAGTTACGACTTATATACTTCCTAGCTTCGGAGTCCTCAGTTTTCAGTTATAAGGGTTGTAAACCGATTTGGCCTATGCTAATACTTACATCAGGCTCCTGTGCAAACATCTGCCTTTTAAATTTATTTATTCAGATGGCTAATGCGAATTCCTCGGGTAGGGGTGTCTAGTCACAGACCACCTTACAGGAGGCGTAGGCTGGCGCTAGGTTGACTTGATTGTGTGTTGGTCTCGAGGATGATGGATCTTAGAGGAAGAGAAGAGATAAGATGTATCAACCTTTATTTCATTTTTAAGGATCCGGGATGGCAACGACAGACCATTCCGTTCCCTACGGTAAGAGGGTGGAGAGAGACTTGGTCGTTGGACGATGCTTCAGATAGACCAGCCTCTCAACAAGCCCTTGAATGCGCTCCCGTGCCTTAGGATACTGTATGAAGCAAGGGCCGGCTGCGCGAATGTAACAGTCAGGATGAAATATCACAAAATTGAGCCATAATATCTAAAATGTCTTTATTAAGCATTCATATGCCCTGCGGTGAAACCAAATGGGCGGAACCACCTTTCAGCTGCTTCATTGCAGCGAGCAGAGGTTATGAAGTTACAAACGTCAACTAACTGGTTTCTGGGACATCAGGTGTTGATGCTACATCTGCCGTAGGCTGATTTCAGCTGCTGTGACCACTATGCGCGAGTTAATTTCTGTAAGAACCAATTTCTAAGCACCACTGGACCACCCGGCTTGTTCATTTAAGTCTGTCTGTGATCCATATTTGTCTGCCTCTTTAGGGTTGAATCTCTATATTTTGACCTCATCGGCAGACAACAACACTGAACACTAAATCACATCCGAAAGCTTTCAGGCTTAGGGGGAGAAAGGTGGGTAGCCATGATAGTTTCTTGAGGACTCCCACTCCTCATAGGTTGTCACCTGAGTAATATTTCATCCACTCTCACTTTTTGTACGTATTTCATGCAGGTTATTAAATCAGACCTGAGACTCAGGATCCAAGATCAGCTTGTAATTCCCAGCCACTACGAGACGTGAGCTCCATCCCCGATAATCTTCTCGAACATTTTGATCGATACAATAGCAGGTCTACGGTTCGATAATTCGGTACTCCTTGCAAATTATTACCTTGAAAACCGGGCCCATAATAGTGTATTTTCATGCTTATTGGAAGTTGTGTCTGACATACGGATATGTTGGCAGGCGGCCTCCAAACGATATCTGCCAAAAAAGATGACAACCATGGATACTAGTATTCAGGATCAGGGGCTTCTACAGGTTTAAGGTTGCTTTAAAAGTGTTAATGTGTGATCATCAGTGACTGATGGAAACGAGTGCCAGAGGCCAGTTGCTTTTCCCTTTCCGATACATGAAAGCAAAGTCTAGTAGAGACGGTTTATGCTGCGTATCAAAACGAGTTGCACTGGTGATGTCTTGGACCAGAATGACCTCCAGAACTGGTCACACAAGGTCGTTATCAAATCAGTTGCTCGGGGCCAGAGTTATAGACTTGACATGGTTAGTATATTGCTTGCTGAGGTCACTTATTATCAGGTCTTTGTTACCATTGCCCCATCCACGTACACAGTTCAGTCCGAACTCATTTGCTGTGCAACATGAATTCAGGCGGATTAACCCGATTTTTGAGTACATCCCCGGCTGACTGGGCGTTCCTGCACGCTGATTCACACTTATCTTTTCTTGTGCCCCTTTGTGAATTGACCTTCTATTTAGGCCATCAGATGTGTACAGCAGAAACCCTCCATTCCTAAGGCTTTGTAGTTTTTCGGCCGTGATGTAGGAGCACCCAGAGAGAAGAGGATCGAATTTCACGCCTCCAGTTACCTATGGCTGTGGGTGTCCTACAGGCGAAATCGAAGAAGCGCCTTACAACTTGGAGACCAATCAGAATGCTGTCTTGTGACCACTGTAAGGTCATCTCCCGCCATCTTAGTAGGCCATGTCGGACGACTGGTTTCGTGATAACGAGTTTTCCGTTGATTTGTTAAAGTTGTAGGCGTTGTTGCTGTTCCTATGTAATGAATCTTACTCAATTATGCCCCGTTTATGATACAGCCTTCGTTGGTTGCCTGTTTCGTTAACTGTTTTTATTGTTTGCAACGCTTGGGGACGCAGGTCAGTTATAAAAAGAGTGCTTTTTGCATACTTGTTTGTTGAATTCCATTTCTTCATGTTGTGTTAATGGGTTAATGTAAATTTACCCGCGTTGTGTTGTTCCTATTATGTTAGAAGTTGGCTAACCGTTAAAAAGGCCGTGATGCTGCCTGTGGTGCCCCTCATCTCCGAATCGCTTCAACGTTTACAGCCTTTATCTGGTTGCTTAAGAAGTTTGTGCAAATGTTAACACGTTCCGTTGCTGTTTATTAACACTTCAGCTGAAAGTCCTCCAAGAATGCTTTACCTATTCGTTTTCATAGCTTCATGGATTCTCATCAAGCTTCCACGAGCAGTGCCAGCCTGGCTAGCGCAACGTGTGTTGATGTTTCTGAGGTGTTTGAGCAGATTATACTACCGAGACATTTTACTGTGTGGAGTCAAGTCGAAGAAGCGACTAATACTTTTCGGAACGCATGCTAAAAAGTCACTTAACTCGATGTTTAGATGACGAATACCCACTACGTTATGAGTGAATGCTGTCGATATAAGGGAGATGCTGAAGTGAAGTACCACTATGTTGTGTTGGCGTGTACTTTTGGTAACCGGGAAAAGTCTCAGGGCACCAAACAGCAAGTTAAGGGGTATATAAGAATTCGTCAAGAGTAGCGTTTTAGATCGAAGTACATTGGTTGTAAATCTGGAATTAGAATACGCCACGATTTGAATCACTTTATTTTTCCAAGTTTCAAGATGGTGCACAACCATCCATGTGATGTGAATTATTTTGCTAGAGACCCCTGGTCCAGACGATTATCCGTGGACGAGATGAAGGTTGTTCGACCCATGCTGACAGTTGTGTCTGAACCGGATCTTGTTGTTAAGTATATAAAAGACGCTATGTCGAAGGACATAACTTATGACTGTGTGAAGAATATCCGGAGGAAAATTACACCAAGTAACACGTTTCCTTAATAATTTATATTCTGCAGGTTATGAAACTCAGGCAGTAGTATTCGCTAAATTAAGAAGTGGTGGTCGGCTGATAACCTAGAGTGGTGGTGAGCATCACCAGGTTGATCGAGTCTGCTTCAGCAGTACCGATCATGTAGCCACCTACCTCCAATTTCCTGAGGTTGCATGCTTCGATTCAACCTATAATACGAACAAGGGCAAGTAAGTCTATCGCGATAGCATTGACATAAAGTATAGCTATCAATTGTTTCAATTCGCTGTCACTGACAACTACGGTAACAGTCGCCCAATTATGTTTGGGTGGACTAAACGAGAACAAAGGACAGGTGTAACACGGATGTTGGGCGCATAATGGGGGAAACTTTGTCCACACGAACATTTGTTATTGATTGCGCTAGGGCATTGAAGGCAGCTGTCGAGACTGTCTTCCCCAACGTTGATGTTACCCATTGTGCATTCCATGTTTGCAGAGCGATATGCAAAAGGGTAGGCACTTCATATAAGTGTTTATATGCACCTAACCTACTCAGACAGTATCCGTGCAGATTAGTTCGATAGGAATCAACCGGCAGGTTAGATGCAAACTGACGTCAAAAGCAGGTTTTATGCATATAACCGCGTCATCAGCGCTATCAGTCTAGATATGGGGAGGTATTTAGGTCGCATGTGGATCAATCGTAAGCGACTTTGGTCCCTGGCATTCTACAGTGATCACCTGACATCGGGTAATAATACTAATGATCGGGTTGAGAGCCTCCATAAGCAGATAAAAGGAGGCTAAGAAAATGTGACAAGCTCCATATAGCGATGTGGAAGGCGTATCAGTGGGATGCTAGTAGAAGCGAAAGGGAGGAGTTGGAAATGAAATAGCTGGGTTCTGGAAATCAGGGGTCTGCTGAACCTAAAAGGCTCCAACCGTCTTCGACAAAATGAGTCCATACGCAGCAAGAAGGGTTGTAAAGGGCTTTAAACGACCGGCAGCAGTTTACATTGAAAACAAGTTGTCCAATGGGGTTTTCTTTGTAGACGGTTATAAGAATCTGGAAGTTGGTGCACATCAGAGGATGTATTCCTGTAATTTTTATAAGACCTCCCTGCTCCTCCGTCGGCACCTGCTGATAGCTCACTTGAAATTCCGAGAATTAACTGGTAGGTTGGCATATAGTGCTTTACTGAATGTAGTTACTGGCGTGTTGCGAAATTGTCAGCGATGGATTCGAGGTGAGCCACGCACTACCATTCCTGATGTAGAGGTCGAGAGCGTCTCATCAGAGGTTGCTGACTATCGCCCTATGAAGCGCAGACTTAACAGGCGAATGTCTCAATTCAGGAGTGAATATGGTTACTTACAGGCCACAAATCTAATGAAGCGCTGCACCAGTCTAGCAGGTGGGGCCGTGAACGCAGCCGACGGACAACAGCTCAACGGTGAACCGTAGGCTATTCGCCTATTCCAATCCTTAAAACCTGCCTACTTTTAAATCGTGACGTTTACGCCATCCGCCGTTATAAGTATGGACGAGAACC